TTAAAGCAATAGTAGATGATTAATTCGGGCTAGTGGCGCCACAGGTAGAACTAGTAGTGCGTTAGTTAGCGTAAGGTCCCCGCGTGGCGCTCAAGAACTCCGAGGACTTCGTGTACATAATCTCCAAGATTCAAAAACCACTGAGATTTCATCGAGAATGGACAGTCGAAGCTTCAGTCGACTATAATCTCAGTGTCAGAGAATTTTCCAAGTTCCCTCTTGGGTTATACTCCACTATTTGAATTTAACATAACACCATTTCGCGGACATTAAAACAGCATCAACGTTTCGTATATCGTCGCCGAGGATCTTCCCAAGCCCTCGCGGAGCCTCCATTTTGGGCATTTAGCGTTAAAAAGAGCGCAACGAATAAACGTCCATCAATTACGGTGAATCTACGAACATTAAATTCAGAGGGAAGCCCGCGTGATCGATCACCCGGCCGCTTTTTTCGATCCTCGGCCGACTTCGCGTCGCTTCGTCGGGGCGACACAAGGGTCTAATCGCACGCCAACGAGGAGAACAGTCGGTTCACCCCGAGATTCCTGCCGAGTCAAACGAATATGAAAGATTAAGCACCAGGCACGCGCACTAATATACTTGTTCCTTGGCCGAGCCGATTGTGTCGCGGAAACGAATGGCTTCCACGATAAGCGAGACGAAGTGCTTTTCGTCAGGTCAGTCTGCGGCATTTTTCGATCCTGGCCGCGGCCTTTCTGAAAAACCGACGATCCGCGCCCCTGGAACCTTATCCTGGCTAATTATCGCCGTACTCTTCCTCCCCACGCGAACCAATTACCTGCGCCGGTGTTCTCTGTGACGTGACCTCTCGCTGCCGTTCCTTTGCCATACTCTGTGGGTATTATTTATCTTCGATGCGAATCTGCGCCTCTCGCGGACTTTTTAATTGATGGCTGGAAAGTCCTTGATCCGTTTGGCATGGAGGGTTGTCGCGCTAGGTGACCGTTGATTCTATGACTTTCGAGATTAGGCTCTGGATCAGTGTTTCTCAACACTGGGATTTCAAAGGAAAGATTTTCTGATTTGAAAAGAATTGATTTCCGAACTCTCCTTAAGAACTAAGGATTCGAAACACACCAAAATTGTTTATAATCTAAGCAGCTCAAACTGAGCGTTCTGTGTCTACGCGCAAACCATTTTTAGTAAATTTGTAAAGCGACAGGCGAAAATTAAAAATCGACTCACCGCGCCCAGCGTCCAGGTCACGTGGATCGAAACAATCAAGCGTCGGCACGCGTATCGTTCCGCTGATCGCTGGGGACACATCCTAATTGGGATCGCATCCGACAAGGACGATTCCATTAATCATTGATCGATTATACGCTCAAGGAGATAATCACTTACTTAACCATTCACTTAGCCCGCCCCGGACCAGTCAGACTGCGTAAAACGCAAGTCATCCCCAAGAGGGAACCCTGGCGAAGGGTGTCTGACGGAGTCATTATTTGGACTCCGAGGACGCCTAAGTACGAGTGGCCTTCGAACGAGGTAATTAAACGCAGGCGCAATTTCCTTCAAAATAATTAACAATATTTGATTGACAGGGGATGTAGTTCAAGTTCATATTCACTAGTCTTTGTTTTAATGATTTTTTAAATCTATATATCGCACCCCATAAATACCTTGCAAATATAGACAACAAAATTTCAGCAAAATTTGAACTCTCAATTTCAACATTAAAGGGAGGTTTGTACGAGGTTTAGAGATAGCAAGGGTTAATTAGTTGGTCTAGATTCCATCTACAGCTCGCAGCCTACGCTGCTTTTGAAGACAGCGAATCGTTAACTGAAGCGCAAGTCTCAGACGCCAATTTATGCATTGTTACACGTATACTCACGCGGAGAGGGCGTTCGCCATTGCTCTCGTTCGCGCATTCCTATTGGCCTCTGCCCTCTTTTCATACCGTCGCTTCCGGTCTGTCCCTCGGCCCTCCTCGCAAGCTGACCTTGCTGGAGGAAACGCAATTATTATTGCCGATCTCACGGGCGCATCGCGATAGCTCAACGGTGGCCACGGTGCTACGAATCGAGCAACGATCTGTATCTGCGGGCGGTTTTGCTTCTTTTTGTTCCTTGTTTACGAGGGAATCGCGTCTCTCGTGTTCTCCATTGTACCTAGCTCGGCCAACCCTGGAAATTGTCGGAGATTGCGGTAGAATTCCATGAAAATCCACGTGATGCAGAAAAACGTCCTACGTCCGGAAATAAAAGGCAGCCTTCCATTAGCAACGAAGCACTTTCCATTAAAAAAAATTAATTTCTTTGTTAAATCGCTCTCGCAATTATTTAACCCATGTGATTTGCTCCTTGTATGATTTGAATTTTTGTAGAAACTTGTTTACTATTTTAGAAAACCCTCTTTAAGTGTATCACTCGTGTCAAAAGGATCGCACCACAAAATTTGACCAAAGAACTAGAGTCAACAGGGTGTTAAGCAAACCCTTTTATAAGCACTGGGTCCACTCGTCGCGTCCTCCCCAAATCGTTGTTAGGCACTTGGCCCCTTGACCAGATAGACAACGATCGCCCGGAAGCAAGAAGTCATCGATTGGGGAAGCATTAGCCACGGTCGTTAGTCGCTGGCGATGGGGGCCCGTCGAAGGGTATTGGAAATCGAATTGTCGTGACGGTAAATAAAGCACATGCAGCCCGGAGGTTCGCATCCTGCGGTACGCCGTTATCCCGACGGTCATCCTAATGGGATCCTGTCCCAGAGGGTCGCGTGGCAGAACGCGGCCGCTTCACGACATTGCGTGCGACTATTTACGAGTGAACAACCTCCGTCTTGCTCATCCTTCCTGCACGCGTCGTCGGGCCTCGTTTCTTCTCTGAAACGCTCCACGCTGGGGCTTCGAATCGACCGGCGATCTTCCTTCCTGCTCGATGCAACCTGTTACCACACTTTGCGCCATCCCTTCGACATGGGAATGTCTGGCTCTTGCGAATATCTTCAGGCGGAATGACTGGCGAAAGCCTGGGGTCTATTTAGAGGTGTAGAGTCCGGAATCTCCAGGATTGGAAATTCCAGATTCTACATCTACAGGCTTGGGGCATTGCTGGGTGGAGGAAGTTTGATAAAAGTGGATTGTGAAAGTCTGATGACGTCTTTGACAATAGGACTAGCCAGATTTAACGAACACTCGTGGAAGGAATAACCATTGTAAGGGTAGAGTCTAGATGAAAGTGTCGAGTCTGAAGACTCTGTCCTCAGAGCTCTGACCTTGGGCAAATATCCGCGACTGAGCGAATCGTCTGGGCAAAATGGAGTCAGAAGTGTGTTCAAGTCGGCTTTAAAGCGGCTTAATAGATCCTCTTAGGGACACGAAGGAGGATAACCGCGCACCAGTGATGACTCCGCCGATGAAAACTGGCCCCGAAGGGTCGCGTGGCGCACGCGTGCTTGACAGAGAGTATTGCGTGCAGGTTTTTATGACCGGCCGTCGGCGAAGTCGCACATCTTTCATGCACGCATCGATGCCCTTCGACGCTAAATGCTCCTCGAGAGGTTGTTCACTTTCGAAACGCATCGTCGGCTCCTTCCATCGCCTCAGCTCGAAACTCGCAGGTGGTCTTGTTCTTATTCGTGCCGGGTCTCCGCCACTCGGTGATACCGTGCTTTCACTTCACCTCGGTCTGAAACTCCTGAAATATCGTATTTTATCCGGCCGCGATCGGTTTCTTCGTGTAAATGATACGAAAATCGTGTAAAGCCCGGACACCGATGCCGCGCGATGGGATGCGTTTCACTTGGATGTGTGAGAGTGTTATGCGCACTTGATCTTGAGGTGGATGACTCGGAAAACTGAACCTGTCATTCACGCGAAACAGGGTCGATCCGAACTTCATTAATTTTCATCTGACGCACGCTCGACTTAAATACAACCTGATGGAACAGCTTGGATCAAACGTAACCCACGATGACATTTTCAATAATGGACTTGCTTCAGAAACTAACGCTTAATAGTCACGACATCGGACTCCCTATTTTGAACTTGAAGGTGTCGTGGTGAGTGTAGGCTTCAATTTAACAAAGAAGCCCGTGCCACGTTAAGAGGAAGCATCGAGGACGTTGAAAATTTTTATCTCAAAGACATCCAAGTGTCCGTTTTTTTCGGGACTCATCCTGTATACACTTCCAAGCGCCATTGGCATTAAGCACGTTCTTAAACAGCCTTCGTTATCCAGCTGAATCGATAACAAATAAACGAAAAATAAATTTAAATTCCGTACTTCAACGCGCTCCTCGTTATCACCTCAAATCGTATTCTTCCGCATGAGAGAAACGGAATGTTTTCACCGTCGAAGCGTTGTCTTTATCGCAGCACACGTAATCCAATCATCGAATCGAATCCTCGAGGGGAAAAAGAGGAGTCGTTTGAAAGGCGAAAGTATCAAACGACGGAAGGAGATTAATGGAGAACGTTCGAGGAGATCCGGCAATACGTGACAGGATGTGAGCGACACTTCCTCTTAAGCCCTACAATAATCCGTCGATCTGGTGCCGTTACACCTGCCTTTCCTCTGCTTAATATGCGCGACATAATTGCAAGATGTACGGGACCAAATCGGTCTATTTAATAATAATAATAACGGCTGGTTCCATCCACCGCGAGAAGCTATTAAGAAGTGCTTAAGGAGATCTATATCTCGATCCAGTGTCTCTCTACGCTAGAGAGGAAGGAATGTGCCTGATTTGAAATCAGATTTAGTAATCAGGATTTTTCTAGAGCCTAGATTCCAGAGTCTGGCCTCTCTAATATAGAATTTATATTCTAAACGTAAACTGGCGAAAATACTCTTAAATGTAAAATCAGTCTTTTTCTGATATATATTCCCTATAAGCTATAATTTAATTGCACGTAATACCATCACTCTAGAGTTTAGACACTAAACTCGTATCTAAATCGTGGGCACAGCAGCCGACACCGACCTCGCTATTAATATTAACTCGTCCAACTGATGTTTACTTTTCATTTGCAGTGGTGATGCACAAAGAGAAGGAGGAAAACTCGCACCACGACTCGCACTACAGAGCGAGGGAATTAGCCGCGTTCGCTGCGTACGACCATCATCATCTAGACGGCGAAATGTTCCTGCAGGTGAGTGACTAAGAGATTGCCAATCATCGAGTTTCTTCTGAAACGCAGAATCGAGACCGAGGTGGCTGCGCGCACTGTGTTTAAGAGCGTGCAAGAAAATTCGAAAATTACCAGGCGGCAGATAGGTTTTTAATGCGTGGCGCGAGCTTACCATTACCTCGTTATCAACGTCTCATACATCATTTAAGGTCTGCAATACAGTTGTTCGAGCAATGGTCAGTTACACATCACGCTCTTGAGGGGTGGGGGTGGGGGGGGGGGGGGAAGAAAAACAGAATTAGAACGCGTTTTTATCAGCGTCTGTTCACTTACCGATGTACGCTCGACCATGTTCCGTGATGGATCGATGCACATACGAGTGGGTGGTTGGAGAGACGGGAGATGAATTAACAGTGAAAAGGGAAACGACGTTCCGCTAAATGACGATTTGGGATAGGGGAGAATTTGAATTAGGAATCGATAAAATACAATTATCTGAAATGGTACAATTAATATTCTCCTGAATCTGAGATTGAAACCTAATAGGGAGCATCCAGCTTGAATCTAATTTATATATGGGAAGTTAGAGGAAACGTTCAACCAGTATGATAGAGTATTCCGTCGGTAATGCAATGGATTCCGTAAGGTTCGGTAATGTAGAACCTTAATTGATCGAAGGCTTTGCCGACGGAGTGCTCCACATTGCCAACAGGCCGATCTGTCTTATCGACAAAGTGTTCTACATTACCCAGTCACGAAGAAAGCCCATACTTGTCACCGAACAGACATCAGAGCAGCTCATCGGAAATAAAGGTTTCATATCGCAATTATCTTACACGTGCAATCAACCAAGCCTTCAAATCCTAAGAAACAACCCCTAGTCCCTTAACCCCAAGCTCAGTCAATCACCTGATCCTCCCGAAATCCAATTGGCGAGAGGCTGAGATCGAAAGGAGGCGAGAGCATCAAAGGAAACGAGGCGAAATTAAATCATCGCGAATGAGAGGAAAAGACAGGAAGAGCCGAAGGAGAGCGGGGAGAGATATCCGGCTGATGAACCGGCTATGAAACCGAGGCGTACGAGGTGTCTATTCCTCCAAAGTATGGAAGGGTATATACACGGATTAATGGCGGTGTATCATGCGAGGCTATTACGTTCCCTTTCCTGCGTTTTAGCTGCACACACTGGAGAACCAGTGCGAGGGTGAGACTGGTTAAGGGAGGGGAGGATTCCAAGCGTGGGGAGTGGGGGGCGATCGGGAGACAAGGTGGGGGTAAACGATACGCTCTCGCGTACGAAGCCGACGATTCCACGCGATCGAACGATTCCTGCCAGCATCTATAACCGCTGGTTATTAATTGCTCGCTCGTTAATTGCGTTACGTAGCTCGTGCCACGAGCTGATTCCTGGACGGGACGCTATGACGGCCCTGAAGGCGACGCGCGCCATTTCTGATTATGACTAGTGATCGTTGATAGCGTACTCGATGGAACTCCTTCGCAGCTTGCTCTTCGAATGTCTTTCTGAAGGATAATATAAGTTTGAAGTTTCTTATCTTTGTCATTGTTAGATGTTCCTCAAAAAGGTTGACTTGTTGACAATATAGAAGATTCAGTCGATGCGACAGGTGTGCTCTGTTGGTAATTTAGAACGATCTGTCGGTAAAGCTTTCGATCAATTAGGATTCTACATTACCGAGTCTTACAGAACGCACTATCTTTACGACATTACCGACAGAATACTCTATCTTACCACCAGGGTATCAGTTCTACTATTCCACTCATATATGTGTGTCAGATTCAAACTTGTATAATCCACTAAGGGCAGTGTCTCACGGAACGGGGACCACGAGTCGATCGGAAAGGAACACCAAATCAACTTTAATTCCTTCTGCAACTCGATCCTCCAATTAACCGGGAACCTTCCTCGCAGTTTGCTTAAATAATACCGGGAGTACAACGGAATAACAATAATGCATTTGACGAGACATTCGGGCCGAGAGGGTGAGGGGGGGGGGGGGAGGGAGAGGATGTCGCGCGAGCCCCGGGCACGAAACAAAATCCGATAAAAGTTTCGCCCAAGCAGTTTCAATAACTCCATGGGGGCCAGAAGTCGCGCAGGGGTAGCAGAAATTAACCGCTCGTATTTTCTATAATTCGCGGAGTTCCTTGAACCTGTCCTCCCGAGAAGACTTCCCTCGACCTCCTACGCCTGCCTTCCAACCACTCGCCTCACCCCATTCGATGCCTCTACCCCCCCCCCATCCCCATCCCCCGTCCCGCCGCGATGCCCACGTTTATACGGCGTTTTGCCGATCCTCATAAAGTTTACGAAGCCAGACAGTAAATCCGGTTTATGACAAGCCGACCGCCACCACCAGGCACTCTCGAAATTACGGCTGAGCGATCGAATTTTTATACCCCCCTAACCTTCCGCCCTCCTCACCCCCGATTAGAGTGTTTTGAGCGTGGCCGCACGAGAGATCGAAGGGACATCGTCTTAGCCACCTACGGAGTGTTTTTCTGGTCGGAGGATGCCGCTTTTAGGGGACTACTTTCTCCAGGCTATCATTGGGTTTGATAAACTCTCATTGATTTGGGTTTATGTTTAATATGCGGAGAAATGTTTACGTTGGATTTATGGTTTTAGGTTTATGATCGTATTCAGGGGATCAGTGCTACTTTTAAGATCGCTTGTAGCATACTTTAGGGAATGGAATGCGTACATGTACAGTCCACGCGCGGGAAGAGCACAATAGACTCCGCCCCTGTGACCTGTGGCGCCTCTTCATGGGCGGAGTCTACGAAGTTCTTCTCCAGACTATGTTTTGCTTTATATCTCAACAGTGGCTTATCAAAAAATTATGAAATTTCGTATGGCAACTTTTGTATATAAGACATTAATCCTGTCAAATTTTCGGACCAAACAAAATTAATTTAAATCAAATTCCTATTTCATGTAAAATCGAGAAAATTCAATACGCTCCAAAACTGATACTGACACAATTCAGCAACGTTGTCGACCATTTTAAAACAATTTCGATTCGTTGATTTTTTAGCACGGCGGTCCTTACGGAGGTGATTTAGTCGGCGCACCGTAAATTCCCGACACGGTGAAATTCGAGCATGGACACTTGGCAGCGAGGATTCCACATGGACGCGACAATACGAAATATCGTTGCATAATTTACGGAAACGAAACCCGGTCCCCCCGTGGTCGCTTTCGCCGGAATATTTAAGGCAATTTCGCAGATAGCGATCGCTGGCTCGCGGATAGCGTGCACGGAGATACTTTCCCAGCTTAATACTTACGATTTTCTTGACGTTACCGCGGATGCATTACTCCTGCGAAGGTTTCCTCGCGCGAGACGTTTACCTCGCGTTTTCCAACACCCCTGGACGCGTTCCTGCGGCCAGAAAATTGCATTCGTTTCGCCGACGGTGAAACTGTAAATCTGTCGGCGGGGTAACGCTGTACACCCAGTCTCGTTCTTCCTTTTCGTCTCACAGACTCCATCCGCCGAATCCGGTATTTCTCGTATCTCTGAGAATAATCTCGACGAACGATTGCTTATTAATGCGCGTAATTAAAGGATCACGCGATGATTTAATCGCTCTCCGGACCTTTCATCGGTTTTCCAACGCGACCGATCTCCGCTCTTCAACATCCACGTGACATTATTTTTTATTCATAGAAAGAGTGTCTTATTCGAGCCTTCGTGCGAAGAATAGAAAGTATCTTCGTTCGATACTTCGTCGACACAATTTTTCTGTACAAACGACGTCCACGCGCGGTTGGCGCCATGTTTCCAAGGGAACCGAGCACCCTGACGTTGATTCCATCGGGACCGCCATCCATCCTCGTTCGTTAACAATAATATTGGGCGACGGGTTTCTCGGGTTTCTCGTTTTTATCGTCGCGAACACGAGCGTATCAGCATTAATCAGCACGGGCCCCGTCCTGGAACAGGTTGAAATCGCTGAGATAAACCAATAAAACACACACCGTTCGTCCAACCTACGTTCCGCCGATGGAGGAGGCGCAGAGGGAGGGGTCGGAGGAGAGGGATTTTTCAATCGGCGAGAAGAACATACTTCGCCAATCCATTTCTGTCGTCTCTTGCAAATTATCACCCCGAGCAAACGCACGATACGCGCCCCCCGTCGCGAGAGCGCGCCTCTCAGCTTTCCTTTATGAAACTCGAACATACTTTTCTTGACACCGCGACCGGTGAATGATGCGCCACGGGAAAAAGGAACCCCCCCCCCTCTCGCCCCCCCCCCCCCCCAATTTTTCGATAACTTTGTTCTTTTTTTTTTCATCAGACCGTCTGATTAATGAAATCAATGAGTTTGCTTTGAAGCCAAAGGCAAGTCCTTGTGGTTAGTTTTTGATAGTGCACCGTGGGACCCGGAGAGGATGTTCCAGGACGGAATTTAGAGTAGACGAAGAGAACCGTTAATTGTAGATACTTTATTATAGGAATTATGTTCCTGATTAAGAGTAAGCTCGAGGGAATGACCTCTTAGGTAGTAGATAAAAAAAGTGGAACCATCTTTACCATCTTATTCCTAGTTGCTCTTTGACCCCATCCTCTCCTGCTAGCTTCCCGCTCGTCAAAAAGAAGAATCCTCCCGTCCCGTTCGAAGCTGATTCAACCCGAAACAGTTCGCACGATCTCCTATCGTTACGCTCATACCCTAGAAAGATCGACAACCCTACCTGCTCATTAACCGTCGATAGGATACCCGGGGCTAAACGCGGCGAGCGCCTCCAGGCGGTTCGCAACAACAGTGGCGCGGAATCGAAGGATTTTTCGCGGCGGTTTGGTACAAATCACGCCTCTCGGTGACGCATCGCCCGCGAAAGCAGCCATTTTGCTCTCATATTTTTTATTTAATAGCCAGCAGGCTATCGTGTATCGCATTAATACGCCAGCCACACCGCAGTAGCGGTAAAAGAGGGTCGTGGTCAGGAACAACCCCCCGCCACCGGTAACCCGTAATCATAACCGAGCTAT